AAAAATAAGAGGGCTATCATGGGCCACTTGTCGTCAAAAAAATGCGGGGCCAAAAATTCGGGCCCAGGTTAATGGCCAAAACCAAAATATAGGCTGTGGTTACGCGCTCTCTTCCCGCCGGACCCTATTTATTTCCCAGCTTACCCTAACAATTTTATTTTGTCAATTTTCTTTAAACGTAAAAATAAAAAATAAATAAAAATAAATGAATTGGACAGTTCCTGCTTAAAGGCAAACGCTTCGGCGACATGGTTCGTAAATAAATATTTCAAGGAAATAAAATGTTTTCGCCTACCTACCTACCCTATTTTTTTCGGCCCATGTACGGCCTACCCACACATATTTTTGTTTTGGCCTTAATCGCACGTCTTACAGCTGCTCAAGTGTGAATCTTTGATTGCTAACGCGCGTTCTCTATCCACCGCGCTCCTCGACATGAATTGTGAATGCCAGGACATTGAGGATAACGGGGATCCGCCTTGCCAGTTGGAGCCGCATCGCTTTCAAGCGCAATGTCGGTTCGATTACTACGTCCGCTTTCACATACTCTGTGAGATATGCGGAGAAGGGCGTGAGACCTGCATAGCAGTGATGGGAGGGAATAGGGAAGGGGAGATGGAGGAAGGAGACTGAGCTGAGAGAGGAGGATGAGAAAGGGAGATGGAGGAGGAGGACTGAGGTGGAGCAGAGGGCAGGATGGGCTAAGGGAGATGGGAGGAAGGTTGAGAGAGTGAGGAGGGATGGAAGGGAGATTGGGAGGAAGGAGGATGGAGTTGAGAGAGGCGGAGGAGGGCATGGGAAGGGGGAGGCGCGGTGACTGAGTGAGCACGGAGGAAGGGATGGAAGGGAGATGAGAAGGGAGACTGAGTGAGATGGAGGGAGGATGGCAGGGTGGGAGATGGAGGAGGGAGACTGAGTGAGACGGAGGGAGGGATGGGAAGGGAGATGGAGGAGGGAGACGGAGGGAGGGATGAGGGGACGGGGGGGGGCGAAGCGAGACCGCCGCCGCCGCCGCCTCTCTAGTTTCGTCAGACGGAGGCGAGCATGTCACAGGGCTCCGACTGCAACGAGGTTATCATGCTGCTCACCGACGGAGGCATGGAGTACCCCGAGGCAATCTTCAAGGAATACAACCCGAAGAAGACGGTGAGTTGTACCACCTAGCGGCAAGGCGGCGCCCTCTAGCGGCGCGGGGGGCACCGGTGCAGGATGGATCAATATGTCGGGTTGCCTCTGATTTAGCATTTTGATTCGATTCGAGTTTGTTTCAGCTGGCTTCGTCTATGTGATTAGTAAATTACTGGTTAATTAGTACTACTAATAGTAGTAAAACCTCATATGTATATATACATAATATATACATACATATATATACATATATATATATATGTGTGTATATATATAATGGAGTAGATATACGTTTGTGTGCATCATGCTTCCAGGTGCGGATTTTCACGTTTGCCATCGGCCCGGCGGCGACACCTATTGCTGCTCCTCGGCGCATCGCGTGCACGAATAGAGGTGGGTGATAAAAGAAATGAGAAAAAAGATAAATAAGAATAAAGATATGAGAAGTAAATAAAGTCTATAAGGAGGCTGGAGTGTTGATAATAGATTAGGGGTTAGATTTGGGTGACGGTTGGGGTTAGGATATTGAACTGTGGTTTCGGTATCGTGGGATAGGGTTGGTGAGTTGAGCTGCTGTGGTTGGGGTTGTGATTTCTCTCGCGATCGTGTTCCAGGTTACTTCACTAAGATTCCATCTATGGGAGCGATACGCAGCAAAGTGCAGGTGAGCGTGCGGTCGATCCAGTGACGTTACTGTGCGTCCGTCGTCGGAGAAATTCGAATCGAAGCTCTACACTGTATTACTTTGCAGCAGTTGAGACTAGTTATAAACTGAGCCATTAGCTGGTAACAATAGGTTATTGATAATTGATGATCTGTTATCAATCAATCCTACGTATATCTATATATACACATATTTATTTATATATTTATTTATTTATTTATTTATAGATGTAAAAGCAGAGAGATATCTAGGAAGATATTCCAAGATATATTCCAAGGCATATTCTAATTATTTTAATATTCTTCTAATTTCTTATATATATATATATATATATTTATTTATATGGTACTGTATTTTGTATTGTGTTTGTTGACGTTTGTTCACGAACCAGGAAGCGTTGCAGCTAGTAATGGGACGACCATTGGCCCTTGAGAAAGCCTACCACCTTCTCTGGGCAGGTCCCTATGTGTCGGACCCCCACAGGGTAGGGGGCGCTGATGCGTGCACGCCGTGTGTGGGGTGATGAGCATGCGAGAGCATGAAACACGTAAGGCTAGTCAGAGGCGGCGCGCCAGGAGAAACGACGTTCGATTGTTTCACGCGAGGTTTTGCGTTTCACTGCGAATTCCGAGAAAATTCTGTTACCTATTTTTCCTGTATTTCCGCTACTTCTTCCTCTTCTTCCTCCTGCTCCTCCTCCTCCCCTCCTCCTCTTCTTCCTTCTCTACCCTTCTCCTCTTCCTCCTCCCCTTTCTCCTCCTCCTCCTCTACCTCCTCCTCCTCCTACTCCTTCTCTACCTTCCTCTTCCTCCTCGTGCTCCTCCTCCTCCTCCTCCCCTCCTCTACCTCCTTCTCCTCAATCTCCTGCTTTACCCCTTCATTCTCTACCACTTCCTCCCTTTCTCTACGTTTTTGTACTTCTCTTTTGTTAAGCGAAAATATATAAAAATTAATCACATTAATCCAAAAATCGAATCGAATGAATGAAATGACATCAAGAAGCGCACAGCCTCGCGTTTACGATCGGTCGTCGTGGCGACGGGCAAGACGCCGCGTCCGCGCACGCGTAACTAACACTGTTCTTGTGTTTCGACGGCGACTAACAGGAGTACGTGGAGGTGCTGAGCAGGCCGATGGTGATATCGCGCGAGAAGCACTACCTGTGGACTAACGTTTACCTGGACGCGCTGGTGACTAACATTTACCCTGTAGTCGTTGTTGTTGTTGTTGTTGTTGTTGTTGTTTGCATCTCGAACCTTATATAGCACGTACAGAAATTTACGTACAGCAAGTGCATAATACATTAAAAAAAATATACTACATAATGAATATAATAATATAACTTGATAAATAAATTTATGTACATACCGGTACACACATATATAAATGAAGAACGGGCTTGATATCCTGTTGTCTCCGTATGTCGAAACCTCGCTCGCTTCACGCCATTTTAGTCGTTGACCCAGGCTTTGCTAATGCCCGGGTGCCCCGCGTCTCGTTCCTTCCTCAGGCGATTTCGGCAGCCGTCAGCGTGCTCAAGTCCCAGAACCAGGCCAACTATCAGATCGGATTCAAGGCTGCCTTCGAGCAGTTCATAAAGGTGAGAGGGTCGGCGTGTGGCGACGCAATTTCGCACACGATGTGTGTGTGTGTGTGCGTTTGCGTGTGTGTGTGTGTGTGCGTGCGTGCGTGCGTGCGTGTTTGTGTGTGCGTGCGTGAGTGCAGGCGTGCGTGCGTGCATGTGCGCTCTTTCATGCGTGTGAGCGTGCGTGCGTGCGTGCGCTCTTGCGAGCATGCGTGCGTGCATGTGCGTGCTTGCATCAGTACATGATGCCACGTAGGCAACATGGTAGGCACTCCTCGCTGCTCGTCCGCATTGATAAACGCAGCATGCATAATATGGTAAATCCCACCGTGTGTGGATCAATATGTGTCGGTTACCTCCGATTAGCATATCGATTCGAGTCAAGTTTGTTTCAGCTGGCATCGTGTATGTAATCAGTAAATTACTAGTAAAAACTTGGTATACATAAGTATAGTATATAGTAAAGCTTATACACATATGGTGGTAGATATACATCCATGTGCATCTTGCTTCAGGGTATTAACCAGGAATGAGTATTGTGGGAGTGCAGAAAAAATGTTTGGGAGTGCAATTTTACAAGTATACACGGCTTTAGATCAATATTTTAGGCCGTGCTACACATTTTTGGCCGTGCAGTTTCAAAACTGATTGTGCAAATCACGGCTGCACGGCTCGCTGGCTAATATGTTGTCTTGCTTCCGTTGTTGTCGTCCTCTCTCTCCGCCGCCGCCGCCGCCGCCGCCTCTCTAGTTTCGTCAGACGGAGGCGAGCATGTCACAGGGCTCCGACTGCAACGAGGTTATCATGCTGCTCACCGACGGAGGCATGGAGTACCCCGAGGCAATCTTCAAGGAATACAACCCGAAGAAGACGGTGAGTTGTACCACCTAGCGGCAAGGCGGCGCCCTCTAGCGGCGCGGGGGGCACCGGTGCAGGATGGATCAATATGTCGGGTTGCCTCTGATTTAGCATTTTGATTCGATTCGAGTTTGTTTCAGCTGGCTTCGTCTATGTGATTAGTAAATTACTGGTTAATTAGTACTACTAATAGTAGTAAAACCTCATATGTATATATACATAATATATACATACATATATATACATATATATATATATGTGTGTATATATATAATGGAGTAGATATACGTTTGTGTGCATCATGCTTCCAGGTGCGGATTTTCACGTTTGCCATCGGTCCGGCGGCGACACCTATTGCTGCTCCCCGGCGCATCGCGTGCACGAATAGAGGTGGGTGAGAAGTAAATAAAGTCTATAAGGAGGCTGGAGTGTTGATAATAGATTAGGGGTTAGATTTGGGTGACGGTTGGGGTTAGGATATTGAACTGTGGTTTCGGTATCGTGGGATAGGGTTGGTGAGTTGAGCTGCTGTGGTTGGGGTTGTGATTTCTCTCGCGATCGTGTTCCAGGTTACTTCACTAAGATTCCATCTATGGGAGCGATACGCAGCAAAGTGCAGGTGAGCGTGCGGTCGATCCAGTGACGTTACTGTGCGTCCGTCGTCGGAGAAATTCGAATCGAAGCTCTACACTGTATTACTTTGCAGCAGTTGAGACTAGTTATAAACTGAGCCATTAGCTGGTAACAATAGGTTATTGATAATTGATGATCTGTTATCAATCAATCCTACGTATACTATAGTAGTAGCACATATTTAGTTATATATTATTATTATTTATCTATTTATGATTTATTTTATAGGACATGTAAAAGCAGATGAGATAAACATCTAAGAACGAAAGATGAAATGTTATAAAACTAGCAAGCATATTCTAACTATTTTAATAGTTCCGTGCTAATATTCTATCTATAGTATATATCACGAGTATATACTAGATTGTAGATATGTGTACTCGCCTACTTTCCTGTAACTTCCGTGTTGTTCCGACCGGCCTTGTTTCATGCCAAACCCAGGAAGCTTGCAGCTAGTAAAATGGGACGACCATTGTGCCCTCTGAGTCAAAAGCCTACCCAGCCTCTCTCTGCGCGCACGCGCTCCCTAACTGTGTCCGCGACCCCCCAAGTGTCCGGGGGCGCTGATGCGCCCTCCACTCGGGGCGCCGTCGTGTGGTGGTGATGAGCATGGCGAGAGCATGAAGACACGTAAGGCAGTCAGACGGCCCGGCGCGCCCGGAGAAACGAAACGTTCGGAACCGTCTTAGTTTTTACCGCTGCAAGGTTTGGGCGCGTTTCAGGCCTCGGCGAATTCCCGACGAAAAATTCTGTTACCCTAATTTTTCACTGTATTTTCCGGCTACCTTACTCCCTCTTCTGCTCCCCGCTCGCTTTCCCCTCGCTTCTCCTTCTTCCTTCCTCATACCCTATGCTCACACCGCTCTTCCTCCTCCCCGCTATTCTCCGCCCTCCCTCCTCTAACGGCCTCTCTCTCCTATCCTTCTGCTACCCTCCTCTTCCTCCTCGTGCTCCTCCTCTCGCCTCCTCGCACGCCTCCATCTACCCGCGTCTTCTCCGCTCAATCTCCTGCTTTACCCTTCATTCTCACCGACCTAGTCCTCCCCGCTTGCCTCTAACGTTTTGTACTTGCTTCTTTGTTAAGCGCGGAAAATATATAAAAAATGGGAATTTAATCAGCATTGACCCGTCAAAAATCCGAAGTCGCATGAAGAAACTGGACATCAAGAAACGCCCACAGCTCGCGTCCTACGCATCAGGTCGTTCGCTGGCGGATCGGGCGAGGACGCCCTGCGGGCACATCCCCGCATGCAGCGCCGCGAGAGTGGGCGCGTGAGCGGTGAAACGTAACCCCACGCTAGGGTTCTTAAGTGTTCGGCGGCGACTAACGAGTGAGCTACCGCTGTCGAGGGCCTGAAGGCAAGGACCGGCCATGGTGGATATCCGCGCCGAGAAGTCACTAAACGCCTGTGACTAACGCTTTACCCGCTGGACGCCTCGGTGCACTAACATTTACGCCTGTAGTGCGGTTGTGTTGTTGTTGTTGTTGTTGTTGTCTCAGCTGAGATGGGTGGCCTGATGTTGTTGTGTCCGTCCCCATCATCCAGGTTGTTGTTGGTTGTTGTTAACTGAGGGTGAGTGTGGGTGGTGTTGTACGATTGGGTCGTGCCGTCCCCTCCAAGCTTGGTTGCTGGTTGTGTGGTTTGGGCTCTGGTTAGTGCGTGGTGTTCGGTCTTTTTTGGTAGTCGTCATCAATCCCTCGTTGATCTTTGTTAGTTCAAGTGGGGTACGTGTGGTGGTCGGGTTGTTGTGTCGTCATCATCATTAGTGTTGTTGTAGTTGGTGGTGGGTGTGGTGGTGGGGGTGGTTGTTGTTGTTGTGGTGGTTGGTGGTGCGGTGGTGGTGGGGTGGGTGTGGGGTGTGTTGTAGTGCTCGTGCATCATCATCTGTTGTTGTTGTAATGTGGTGGTGGTGAGTGGGTGTGCGTGTGTTGTGTCCGGTCATTCATTCAAATGTTGTTTGTGGTTAGTGGCGTGGATGGTGGGTGTGGTGGGGTGGTGTTTGTTGGTCGTCATTCAATTGTTGTTATTGTTGTAGTGTGTGGTCTGCTGGATGTGGATGTGGTGCGTGTCGTGTGTTTGTCGGTTGTCACTCCGTTGTTGTTTGTTGCGAGTTTGTTGTCCTGAACATTGGGTCCGTGGGGCAGCAGTTGTGCTGTCATTGGTGTACGTGTCTGCTGTTTTGATGTTGAGATTGTGTTGTTGGGGTTGTGGTGTCGCTTGTGGGAGTTGTGTTTTTGGGTTGGGTGGTGGGTAGTGTGTTGTGTGGTTGGTGTGGTGGGTGGTGGTAAGTGGTATGTTTGTTGGTTGGTGTGGTGGTGGTGGTTGTGTTTGTTGTTTGGATGTGGTATCTCGTTGGAGTCACGGTTTGTTTAACGTCGTAGTAGTGTTCGTGTTGTTGTTGTCTGTCATGTCTATTGGAGTTTACGTCCGCTGCAATTTGATGTTTCGTTAAACCACGTGAGGGGCCATATCGTATTACCCGGGGCGTGGCGTGTGACCCGTTGTGGGGTATGTGTTCTAGAGTGTGACATTTGGCGTGGGGTGTTGTTGGTGTGTGACTCTTGGTGTGGGATACTTATAGATGTTGAGGTGTGACTCTTGGTGTGGGGTGGTTGTTAGGGGAAGGGTACTCAGTGATTGCTGTGGTCTTACGACGTTGTTTTTCTTATGGACTTTCGCTACAAACTCCAACTGCAAGCTTCTATTGCAAGCTACTACTTCAAACTACTATTGCAATTACAACTGCAAACTACTATTGTAATTACAACTGCAACCACTATTGCAATTACAACTGCAAACTACTATTGTAATTACAACTGCAACCACTATTGCGATTACAACTGCAAACTACTGTTGCAATTACAACTGCAAATTGCTACCACTACTAACTACTGAAGAATTCATACTATTGCTACTACTACAGTACTACTATTCTCAATCACTGCCTTCACACTAATTTTTGATTTTTTGCCATTTTGAATTGAAATAACCACCGCGCATATGTTTGAATTTTGCATCGGCGGCCCGTCGTTTGGCAGACGAAAAAAAAGATGATCTTGAACTTTTTTTAAACTCGGTTATAAGCCGATTCTAGTTTTTTGCCCGGATTTTTTTGCCATTGTTTTGCATTGCAATAACCACTGCGCGTTTAATTTTGCGATGACGTCTGCCGGTGTTTTGCAGATGCTTGCATTCTTTGTGATTACGTCACAGTAAATAGCAGTAGCAATTTTTTTGGTGCTCTTTGTGCACTCTTTATGATTCAATTTCTTCATTATACTTCCTATTTTATTGATCTCTTCAAACTTCAATGTCAGTAAGCAATCATGATGTATACACTGCTCATATATACCTAGCAGTTTTTTGTGTGTGCTCATTTTCTTAAATTGCACGGAGCGTTTTGCATTTTTTAAAAGCAACGCTATTGGCTGAGAGTTTTTGAACGTATTTATTGCTACGAGTAATCGGTTTTTATTTGAAGAAAAACTTTATAAACAGGATTTTTTTTGCGAATATGTGTTATGTGAAACTCTGAAAATGCATGTCACTGAAGGCTTTATCGCGATCGTCTGTCGTCGTTATCTGCGGCACGGCGGTTGCCGTGGGTTACAAGCGCCGCGACGAGAGGCCCCTCCCGCCGCGTCCGTGCGACGAATGCTCTCTTGTCGACGGCGAGCGAGCGATAATCATGTGACGATTCGTTCATCGTTCCAGGCGTGGCTAATTGCGAATAAGCATTTGCATAGTGGTGGTGAGATGGCAACGACGAGTGTAAGTAGAGAGACGCACTAGCGCACGCGAGTGTTGGGGGCGAGCGCCCCGCGGCGTGCCGCCCTGCGTGTGCCCTTAAGGGGTGTGGATTATTTACCGTGTCTCTCTCTCTCTCCCTCCCTCTCTATCTGTCACTTTCTGTCTCTCCCTCTCTCTACCTCTTTCTTTCTCTCTCTCTCTCTCTCTCATGCTCTCTCTGCCACTTTCTTTCTCTCTCTCTCTCTCTCTCTGTCTCTCTCTCTCATTCTCTCTCTTTCTCTCTCGCTCTCTTCTCTCTGTCACTTTCTCTCATTCTCTCTCTTTCTCTCTCGCTCTCTTCTCTCTGTCACTTTC